AGCCGTGCATTATGCTGGGTTTATTGCTTTCTCAAGTTGAGATCAGCCTGTTAGCTCTTCTGCATCTTTCTAGAAGTATAATTTTGTTTCAAAGAACGTCTTACAATAAGTTATCGGGCCTGCTTATAACTTCAGAATTCTCTTCTGATTAGTAAATACATTTTTAAGTTTGTTGGCTGTTTAGGACCAGTGTAGCTTGGAGTGTCCCTACTTCACATAGGAAAATCCTGCCACAATAGCTATTCCAATCAAAGCAGTTTCCTTGAGGAGCTGCTCTGGAATTGCATGTCTGCTGACCTTTTGTTTCAGGATAATTAATGTTTTCAAAACAAGGAAAGAAAAAAAAATCTTGCTGCTCCTTAATTATAGTATGCTGAACTCTTCCATGATAGCTACTATAGCGCGCTTCTTTTCAAAGTACCTATCCAGGTAATATTCCTATGGATGAGACCTCAGCAAAAATGCATTAGCTCATATTTTCCAATAATAGAATTAAAATTTAGCTTAGTTCTTTCCAATTTTTTTCATACTTGATCAGATAATAAAAAAATTATCAGTTTTATCCTATCAAAAGTGATGAACAAACTTTACATCTCTTTCAACCAATTTTCTTGTTGGCAGTTCTCCAGTGGTTTATTGGACTTTATATGGGACTGTTTCCTTATAAAGGTTTTTTCCACGGACGATTTGTTTTACATTGGCTCCACAAAGTGATCATGAAGTCTAGAGATAGACAGAAGGAAGGCAGCAGATTCTTGTAAGATGACTTGAAATTAGTTTTAGCTGATACAATCTGAGCAAATGACTGTAAAAAATCACATAGTTCTTGTGCATCAGAGAGACTCCAGGTGTGTCCTATGTTTATTCCCCTCTTGCTGCATGGATTTTGTAAGAATAAGAGCAGACTTTGGTTTATTTACTGGGCTAATTGGTGGAATCCAGTGAGTTACAAGAAAGTGAAACTCAAGAAACCTGGCAAGCCTTTAAGGACAATGTCATTGGAGCACAAAGCTGTAGTCCATACAGATGCACAGGAAAACGAGTAGATGCATAAGGAGAGCAGTGTGGAGGGAACTTATCGCTGAGCATCAATGCAGAAGACTCATGCAGGAGGTAGATGTGGGGACAAGCTTGCTGAAGGATATAAAGACTCCCTACATATGCAGAGATGGTATTAAGGAAAGCCAACATTCCTCTAGAGTTGAAACTGGCAGGGGACATCAAAGGCAACAAGATTTTCTAGCACTGATGCAGTGCTAGAATTGAAGCAGTTAAAGAATTAAGAAAAGAAATGAGGGAAATACAGGCTTGCTGCTGACTGTGGCAGTGAATTTAGCAACATTGAATATGGAGGGTGAGGCAGTGAGTGCTTTATTTGACGTGGTCTTTAGCAGCAGAGTCTTCTAAGCCTTTGTACCTATAGATGGGACTCAGAGTGGAAGGTAACTGTCGGTAGTGGAAGAGGATTGGGTCAGAGTTCTCTTTTGGATGTGGAGAAGGCACCTTTGCACACTGTTGGGTGTAAGGGGGAAGTCTTCCATAATTAGGAATGCTAGTGAGGGCTTGGAAGTAAAATAAGAATGCAAGTGAAGTGTTTGGGATGAACATGAATGGTTGCTCATAGTGTTAATTCAAAATTTTCAGTATAGAATCTCTTCCATTTGGCTTGTCAACAACCCTGAAGTGTTTCTGAAAGTAACATTTTCTGCTGTTAAAGTAGCTTGATTATGAAGTCATGCACTGTTTTCTGCTGCTTTTGAATTCCTGAAAAATGTGGTTAATAATACAGCAAGTAGTGAACCAAATTTTCTCATACGAATTAATGTAATGGATGGGAATGAATGTGTTTTCCTCTAGATATCACAGTTTATAGGTATTTTGAATTACGTTCAGGTATGAGTCCAGAGGAAAACCTGACTGATCTGCCACAGAAGGTTAGAATTTGTTAATGCTGCTCTGGACTTGTCATGAAATGAGTTTATACATTTCAGTCTCTGCTTAAAATCATGACGAGCATCCCGATGAGATGACAAAGCAAGTGTCATGCTTCTGAAGTCTTATTCCTAGAAATTGTATGGTACCTTTGGTCATCAGTATTTGTCTCTGTCTACCTGTGCTGTATGAAGGACTGACTGAACTGAATTTGTATCCGTCACTTGCCCCGTATCCGTCACTTGCCCCGTATCCGTCACTTGCCCCGTATCCGTCACTTGCCCCCTGCCACACCCAGCAGAAAAAGATCAGCTTTGTGTTTACTGCTTTCCTTACAATGTTCCCAGACAGTTCTTGGTAATGGATGTGTATGAGACCCAGATTAAGGAATGCGTCATTGGATATTATATTATGTTCCAAGAACAGATTGCTTTAATAAAGCAATGTAATGCAATTTGAAATGAATTTCCTGATGTGTGCAGTACTGTAGTATCTCATCTAATGTATGACTTTACATTTGCAAAGGATCCAGAATGTTCCTTCTACGTACAGAAATAGCTTACACAGGAAGTGGTGTAGAACATAGTGTTTTAGTTCCATACGTAGTTTGGTGTGTGCCCATCTCGACTTCTTGCGATACCACCCCTCTGAAAGACCCAACAGTGAGCAGTAGTGTGCAGCAACTTGTCCCATGGATTTTGGTTTGTTGTCTTGATGAGGTTTTTGGTGAGGACTTCAGCTGTTTATTACTGTCCCTTCTCTACTTGGATTGTATGTTTAGGAGAAGCCACTTCGTCAAAGTCTCATCTCCAGCCCTTTGAGACTGATGATTCTAGCTGTGTGTAAGAGATCTTACTCAAGAGATGGTAAAAATATTTGAAAAGCTGGTGGCTTTGGGTTTTTTTTCCCCCATGCAGCTGATGAACCTTTATCATATCTCATCTCTTTGAGCAGGCATTTCACTTGTTTTAAATTATTACGTTTGTTAAGAAGTGGTTTGTTGTTTGTCACTCTGAAATGGATGTTTTTTCACATTCTGTAATACCAGTAATTCTTCAGAAGTGTGCTATGACAGAGCTCGCTCAGGGAGGCTTCCATAGCTAGTTTGTGCTTTGGCCAGATTGTTTTTCAGTTACTCTTTGGTAAGATTTCAGTGTCCAATGTCCTGTTAGAAGCTCCTTGCATGAGAGGTGCGCAGAGTTGATTGGAGAAAGTCAGTTGAAGAAGAAATTATTAATTACTTTCTAGGGAAACGTCTTTAGAAGCAAAAAAAATCTTAGTAAGGCTATCTTTCTATTTTCTGTGATCCTGTCCTTCTCCCTACACTTTCTAGACAGTTGATCTCACTGCTGTCAATTTTGACTTAGTTTTTCTTTGAAAAATATACACAATCTGCTTTGGTTTGTTATTCACCCAATGAGACAAATTACATTGTTAATAAAACAGCATTTTTCTGTGCCATAAAGCATAGTTACACAGTAAAGTGTTAGAATTAAAAAAGACTTTAATTTGGTGTTTTTGTTCAAGCTTTCTAGGGGTTTGGTCTTGTATTTCAATATTTATTTTGTGCTTCTCTGTAGAAATCCTATTTTAATAGTTTGTAATGCTCTCATGTTCCTGTTCAAGACAGGTTCCTGTCTTCTCTTACTGCACCAGTAGAAATGTGCTGCCTGATAGTGCTGTGTTGCTTGATCTCTGCTGATCTATTTCTCATTTTTAGAAGTCACTGAAGATGTCACTATAGTGTATGATATTTTAAATATATTCCATGCTGCTTTTATTTCATTTTACGTTAGGTTATATACTCATTTTATTATTTACTCGAAGTCTCAAACCTGTTCTTTCAGAACTGGTAAGCTGAATGCAGGTTGTGTAACAGTAATGCATATGCTAGCTGTCAGAAGCATCTGGGTTTTTTGTGTTTTGTTTGTTTGTTTTTAAGATAATTGTTTGGTAGTAGCATTAACAGAAACATTTCCTAGCTGGCGGCAATGATTGTCAGAGCAGGTTTTCTCATGGCAAGGCTGTGTTGACTTTGCAGCTGCAGAAGAATTTAATACAGTTCTATTAAAAAGACAATATTACTGGTCAGTTACAAACTATTGTGTTGACCTATCTGGGTTTATTGTTTGTGTTTAGTTTCGACATGATAGTAGTCTTGAATTACTCCTAAAACCCATGTGTTCACAGCTGCTTATTGGACTGTGTAGCCCAATTCTGCGTTTTATACGAAAGTGCTACAGGAGAACACTTTAAATGTAGACACTCAAAGCAAATTTGTGATTTCACAGTCTTTGAGTATTTCACAACTTCTTACCGTTTGTTATTACGTATACAGATATTTGCAGTCAATTCATTGTAAATATATATAAATATATATGCACACACACAGTGGGAAACACACTATAAAACAATGTTTGTATATTCAGAGTATAAAACAACATCTGCACTTACGAAGCTGGTGTAATACATTATACAAAGAAACCCTAAACTGACAGCAATATAAGATTGCAATATCTTCATGTACTCTAGTGTATGTAGTTAATAGCTTTTTTATAATGCTCCTGGACTAGCCATGTTAATACTAACAGAAGTTTGAATTCCTTAGTCTACAGAGTGAAGTGTTACTGCAAGATGTTAGAAAATTATATAGTAGGTGATGTAGAATTTCCTTCTGAGCATTATAAAGAAAAATATTTTTTTATTTTCCAGAAATGTTTCTGGAGAGATTAATATTTGGGGTGAAAAATGTTAAACAGGATATTAACTTTTCTGAAATGTATTGTTTAATTTAGCCTTAAGAGATAGAAAATACTTCTATCTACATGGCTTTTAAGTGTCCTAGCAGGTTTAAATGGCTACTGGTTTACAGCAGACTTGTCCTTTAGTGTCTATGCAGTGTGATACCACTCTGTTAGATGCAGAGTCCATTGGATGCACCTTTGGACACTGTATAGCAGAGGAAAGAACAGAGCACTGTTTGTGGGAGTGATGAAAGCAAGATAAAACTAAAATACTATAGCACTTTGATGTTTAAGAAAATAATGTAGCTGTATTCCAATTTTCAGAGCAGTGGAAAGAGTTCTGTGTTGGAAAGTCTTGTGGGGAGGGATCTGCTCCCACGAGGTACTGGAGTTGTCACCCGGAGACCCCTTATTCTGCAGCTGGTCCATGTTTCCCCAGATGGTCGGAAAACAGCTGCAGATGAAAATGGTAAGTGTGATCCAAGAGTGTGTTTTGCCTAGTAGGAAAAAGACTTCTAATCTTTCTTGTTCATTTGACAGAAAATAAGTAGTTGTAATGTTAAATCTCAAGTGTGCTTTTTTAAATTTATTTGGAAGAAAACACAGCTGTTGTCACATCTGTTCTGTCCATTTAACAAATGACATTAATTCAAAAGCTTTTGGATATTAAAAATCTTTAATGTTTTAAGTTTTCCTGTTTGTTCTTAGGAAACACTTTCGAGAAGAGCAGGCCAAAGAAACCAGTTTAGTTATGATAATGATTGTCTAGAGTGTAGAGAACATGATTTTCTTGTGTGTGTTTTTCTTCCTCTCCTCTTTTGCTGTGTAAATAAGATCTTTCCTCGATTGATTAGTATGTGACCTTTTAGGAAGAGGTCAGGAAATAGGTAAGCTCTGGACAATGGAAGAAGGAGAAATGAAAACAAATGTGTAGTAGATGCAAACAGGATTTAATGGACATATTCTGTATCTTGCAGATGCTAGCTTACTGGACTGCTCTGAGAGATTCCAAGCACATTGAGAACAACACTTTAAATGTTCTGAAGCTGTCTAGTTTGAAGCTTGTGTCTTCTGTGATGCTTCTATATTATTCTTCAGCAGAACAAGAGAGTAATCTCAGTTGTCCATTGGGACTTTGAACACTTGTTCTATATTAACTAGTGCTTTATCTTATGAAAAAGCAACAGGGGCATATCCACCTTCTGATCGTAAGATAAATTGTATTAGCTTTTCGATTTGGATAGTAACTGTACACAGGCTTTTGATAACATCATAAGTTTGGGGCTATAATTATTAATTCTCAAGTGTTCAAGTTGTTTGGAATTTATTTCTAGCAATAGTAAGTCAAGGTATCATAAAGTCTTTACAGTATTTCTTTTCATGTGGTATTTATAGCCTTTGGTTGCTGAAGAACAGTTACTAATATTGAGCAGTTTGAAAGGTTTAAGTTCCAGTTTTCATTAGTGCTGCAAGCAGAGAACACAGTTCCAGTTCATAACAATTAAGAACTTTTAACGTGCAGTACATAATTTACAATTAAAGTTGTGCTAGATTGTGAGAGATTGTAGAACAATTCAGGTTGAAAATTATCTCAGGAGGTCTGTAGTCCAACCTTCTCCTCAAAAAAGGGCCAACTGTGAACTCAAGGCCAGGTTGCTCAAGGCTTTATCCACCTGGGTCTTGATATCTTCCAGGGACGGAAAATTCAGAGAATCTCTGGGCAACCTTTTAGAAACGGCACATTTGATCTCTTTAAATATAGCTTTATGTTACTTGCTTTGTGCAGTGTATAATTTCTAGTACTTTTCAGAATGCTTTGATTCAGAGTTGTAGGATAAAATATGATTTAGTTCTGCTCTGTAACATTACAGGTGTAAAAGATTATTTTGTAATTAAGAGTATTCTTAGTCAAGGCAGAGCCTTTCTGTCGTAGGTTGCATTTGATCTGGGGATTCAGTTTTTAAATTTAAATTGGGATAATGATATTACTGCATAAGGATGTTGGGCTAAATTAATATTTATAAGGCTCATTTAGATATTTGGGGAAAAAAATCAATGTGTGAGACATACATGTTATATCTTCTTGATGTTCCTTTGAGAGAAATGTGGGCTTGTTTGGTAAGAACAGACAGACCTTTATGGCTTACCAGTGGTGTTTGAAATGCTTCTCTTTCCAAAAATCAGAAAAATCACAGTCTAAATGGACTTCACACTAATGCAGATTACTGTATGTACAGATTGTGGTGTTACGTCTGAGAAGATGAGATCAAGTAGCTTGGAAAGAAAAAAGATGGCAGCCTCTTGCCCTGGCTATGCTGTCTGACTTTGTAGTAAGTCATTATACTACTACAGGTCATATTTTTGTTTGAGTTGGATGTTGAGGTAGGGTTGTGTTTGTGTTCAGGATTTCCTGAAAGGAAATCTGTCCATAGTCTTGCAGCAAAGGGTTTTCTCCAGACGAGGGGTTTCTTCTTTACAAATTGAATATTGAGGAAGAAAATATCAGTCTTGGGATGCTGCTTTCTGAATGTGCTGGTAATGAACTCTGTGTGTGCACAGATATTTTTATCTAACTGCCTCGTTGTCTTGTGATTTCTGTTTTGTGATTTGGTTCTTATAAGCTTGAATTTTTCCTCCATCTGGGTGTAACAAGCTTCCGTGTTTTTAACGCAAAGCACTTTGGATTGCAGTGATACTCGATTAAGCATGGACAATTGCCTTGTCTTTGACTTTGAAGGAGAAAACTGTCTCTCTATTAGCTTCACTTTGATATCATCTGGTGTGTGTGAGCTGCCAGAGAATATCAGTTCATATCAATTTAGGTGTTTGGTTTGGTTTGGTGTGGTTTTTTTGGTCTTTGTTGTTTTTAAATTTTATTATTTGATTCTTGGGAAGCACGTTGGGAAAGATTTTAGAGAGAGTTGCAGCCAGATGTTTGAACTAACCTCTGATTTTTCTAACCTGTGACATTAAAGAACAACTCTGCTGTTCCTCGAAGTCACCAATGGGCTATGGTTTGGACCACCATTGTACGGTGGTCACTGCAATAGATCAAAGTAGTCAGAAAATAGCAGAGAGATGAATTTTCCATTAAACGTGAAGAAATGTTGTGTTTTCATAACATGATATTTCAAACTGATACATATATTCTACAGAGATGTGTGTGGTGTGGTGTGAAGGAAATGCTCTCATGCTTTTGCTGTTTATTGTTAGCCTCTAGTGATTCAGCATATATGGTGTGTTTGATGTGGTGATGCCACACTGTGATGTTCTCTTATCAAATTGCAAAAGAAGCAGTGTTTACGAGAGAACTGGGCCTGGTCTTGTGAATTATTAAATTGGTCTTGTAGCTAAGACCTATTCTGGTGGATTATCCATTTGTTAGGAAATGGAAAAGAGGAGGAAACACATGAATGGTCAATTAGTAAATGTTTATAGGGTCTTTTCTTTTTTCATCTAAGGTAGGAAGCTGAACATTGTTCAAATTCTGAACAGATAAAATTGAGAGGTACACAAGAACAATACAGACCTGTTGCTTGCTAATTCAACACTGTTTTAGCAGCTTTTCGCTCTCTAGTTCAAACAGGAATCCCTTACCCCTAGCTCCAAAACAGTGTAGACCACTTCATTGTACTTAGCTTCATAGAAGCACAAGAGAAAAAGAGCTCTCACTCAAAAGCGCTTGCCATCTAGTCAGCATCAAGGATGAAAAAATAGTATAACATACAGAATAGGTTGGAAGAAGTGCACATGTTTTTTCACAAGTTGGGTTTCTTTTTATTTGGAGAGAATGAGAGAGAGCTAGGAAAGGATGAGGTTAGGGGAAAAACAGTTCAGATGGGAGTCTGCTGGGTCCATGAGCTGTGAAGCTATGGGAACTAGAAAGCTAGGAAAACAGGTAAGATTCTTCATGCTTTGCTGATTTTTGTCCTTTTAGTATTTGGGAAGTTGTTGTTGCTGTGCTGCAAGAAATCCTCTGGTGATAGCCTTTTATGCCTCTGAACAGCTTCCCTGTGCTCCCATTGTGTGAGAACACTTCTACTGCTTTAGCAAGGGAGAAGAGATACATGAGTAACTGAAGTCAGCATTGTACTTGTGTTTGAGCTTCCTAAAGGAGCATTGCAATATAGGAGATAAGAAGTAACAATTTTGTGGTGGGAAGTCCTGAGAAAAATACTTTAATCATGTCTAGTTTTCCAGTATATTAAAGTTTTCAGGTCTCACTCCATGATCTGAAATGCCAGAAAAGCAAGTGGGCTGTTGCTTTAATCAGATTTTTTTTTTGAAAGGCAGGATCTGTTTGTCCTTAATAGCATCTGTTTTAATAATTTCTTCTAATCTTTTCTAATAATTTTATAATGACCAAAATGTTTCTGCACACAGGTGATTAATTCACCTAAAAGTTTTGCCTTCCAGAAGGCAAAAGCTTCCAGAAAGTAATATAACCAAGGGAAGACTAATTTACCACTGAAACTAGTGATAAAAAGATGTTGTACATGTAAACCAGAAAAGCTTAAAAAATTTTCAGTCTGCTTTGATCTGTAGATGTCAACAAGTTAAAATGCAATGCCTCTGACTAGAATACATCTCTTTTACATGTATTCATAAAGTTAATAGATTGTACTAAACCAGAACACTTCTTTTTACATAGAACTAAGCCTAGTACCTACCTGCAAATTCCTGTGCCACCATAAAACCACTAATTTAAGACTAAAACAGTGTCTCCTTGGAGGACATTATCTCCCTAGGAGGGACTTAACAGGAGAGTGCCTGTACTGGTCTTTAAAGTGTAATGGTGGCAGTATCTTGCTATATCTTTTTCTTCCTGGCTTTATGCCTGTCTTTACTTTCTTAGATTCAATTTTTAAGAGGAGATGAGGGGATGCAATCTTGAAGATACTCTAGTTTCCTGTATGTGCATTTTAATTTGTTTCCTCTGAACTGTAAATAAACGGGTCTTGTTTAATAACCTGGAATTTATGAGGCCTTTCACTTTGCACTTATTTTGGAGACAGGTATGTAATTTTACCTGTTTACCAACCAAGACAAACAAAATCTGCCTCCTAACAATGGTTTCTCCGTAGCTCACGTCCCGTCAGGACAGTAAGGATAAGAGTAGTTTGTTTTTTATTTTTTCTTTTTTTCTTAATGGATCCAGTCCATCTAGATGAGGGCATTTCCATTGATGATAAACCTTTGACTTACCCACCTGAGCAAGTAATTAAAATAACATTCCATACTGATGAATTGATTGTTGCTGTGCTACTTGCATTTTGTACCAAAAATGTCTTTACCAGTTTGCTTTGATTCTTGCACTTTCATCATGCTGTACTGGCATCACATAAAGAAAATAGAGTTGTAAATTAAAAGTTGAGAAGGGTGGTAGCAAAAGTTGTCTCTTCTTAAATCTGTCTCCAAACTGCTGTAATTGGTTTTGCTAACTGAGCATTAGAAAGATTGATGTAATCCTCAGATTTCTTATATACAGTAATGTTACTTAAAGTGACATTAAAAATGTTTCCTTACTCGTTCTTGCCATGAGAAACACATTTCACCAAAGAAGCTCAGCTTTGCGGAATCTAACGGTGCTGTTTTCTGTGCTCAGATAAACATATTGTGAGCTGTTGGAATTAGATGAACAGCGATAATAAAATCATCATCAAGTAACCTTTGTTGTATAGAATAGCTGATTAATATGCATCATTTATCAGTGTTTAGTTAAGATCTTATTTCTGTGCATATTGTTAATATGTGTAACGTTCTCATTAGTAGTAGAATAGCATGCACATCTGTCTGCATGCACTTGTGATCTTTGTAATACAGTCTGGTACTGAAAGTTAATAAAATGCTATATTAAATATGATTAAAAATTTTAAACGTCACTCAATGCTGTTTCTCTTTAAATGCAGACCCTGCTACATGGAAAAACCCAAGACACCTTTCTAAAGGTTGCCTTTATCCACTTGCTCTTTCTCCCTACGCATAAAGTGCATGCTTATATACACTAAGCACATACATTTCATGCCACTTTATTGTTGATTACACTTTTACTTTTACACTTCGGCTAGTGTGTTGGTTTATTATTTTTTTGAGTTTTGTGATCTGGTTGATTTTTAGTTTTCTGACCTTATTGCATAAAAATGAGATTAATTTTTGCTTTTCTTCTGTGCCGTTGCTGCTTCATAGAATTTCCTGCACTTTTAATTCCCAAATCCTTTAAAAAAAAAATCTATTGATCAGTAGCTTGAAATTCAACTTGAGTGGAAAAATGTTTTGAAAGTTGACTTGATTGTAGGTAAGCAGTGCATTTGCCAAATGGCCAGATTTCTTGTAGACTATTCTTCTAGAGCAGTTTGTTATATTGGGGAGCAGAGGGGAAATGACCACAAACTAAAAATTTGAACTAACGCTTGGAAACCTCATTGTGGAAGTATGAGTACCTCGCAGTGTGACTCAAATTTCCTGTGTTATGAAACGGAAACTGACAAAACCCATTTTGCTGTTTCTGGGACTGCTCTTGAATAGCCTCAGGTAATTCCAGACATCAGTGGTGATTGACAAGAGTTAGGATGTTTGGTCCTTGACAGATTTGGGAAGAGACATTTTCTCTTAAGACTTCACTGTTATGCAGATTTCTTACATAATTTCTGCTTGCTTGGTTTTGGTTCTACAGGTTTTTCTAACTTTTTCTTTCAGCTGTAATTTGATCTCACTTGCATGGTAAAAAAACCCGATGCTAAAAGCTGGTAATTTTTCAGGTTTTTTTAAGTTACTGCTAATAATTCTTTTGTTTTCTGTTACAAGCTGATACTTAATGGACTGTACCAAATGGTAGGATAGCTGATTGGCTGAGTCACAATTAAGAAGGTGGACCTTGTGTAAGAGAGACAAATTAAAAGAGTAATGAGATGAAATGTTTAAATAAGCCAAATCGTAAACAGAATCATAAATGTATCTGTACTGAGCTATTTAATACCTAACAGAAGAAATCAGAATAATTTTTCTCTTGCTGCTTGGGAAAAAAAGAAAAAAAATCACATTGTAGTTTTCAACTAGCAGGTTCTTGGAAAAATGTCATTGAAACATCTGCTTCCTCTTCCTCATGTACCAATTCTTTGTTTTCAGAGATAGATGCTGAAGAATGGGGTAAATTTCTTCACACCAAAAATAAGGTACGTTTAATTAGATGGAGTAACAGTGTCATAAATATCCTATCTTATATATATGTGTGTGTGTGTGTGTGTGTGTGTGTGTGTGTGTGTGTATGTGTATATATATATATTTACACACACACTTAATTCTATATCTCTTCCCTTGACTTTCCCAAAAAGGAGATTATTCTACCTGCTATACTATATGCTAGAGTACTGAGGATTTTCTGTTTTGCTTTTTATGAATAGAAGACTTCTGGAAGTATTCTTTTAAACTCAAGACAAGTTTATCAATGGTTGTCTGTTGTGTGGGTCACTGATTCTGCTGAGTTATTTGTCTTAATACTTTTTGTGTTATGTTGTTGATTTTTCTTTGTCCATTGGCGAAATTAGAATGGAAATTGCAAAGACAAGGCAATATATAATTGGAAGTATATAATCAGAAGTCTGAAGAACTGGCTACTTCAGAGATTTATTAGAAAGCTATGAAGAGGAAGGAAGAGCCTAATGCTTATCAGGGGGGAGAAGCAGAAACTTAGATGACTTCAATAAGAGAGTCAAAGCTTAATTCTTTGCTTGAAGGCAGTCATCTGTTTTGTTGACAGACTTACTCAAGTGTTTATTACTTTAAACTGATTTCCTCACCTTCTAGACAGTGCTAGAAATTGAAGTAAATCTAGAGAGGAGTGCAGAGGGAACCTGTGCAAGGGTAGCTCTGTGCTATTAGTTATTTTGGATTTACTGAAGGAGAATAGATTTGACAAGAGCGCAAAAAATTTGAAATAAAACTGTTCTTGTTCTTTGTCCTCTTTGAGATGAGAAGGGGTTCAGGCTATGTGCTCCTTATTAACTTCAAAGGATTGCAAGTTGAGTAGAAATGGAATTAAAAATTTTAAATTCTCCTCATGTGAACACTATTTTATACCTTGCGTGTCATTGAGGGGGTAGTAAGTGCTAATAGCTGCCACCTCACAGTATTAATCAACAGACTAAATACCAAGATTCCAATTTCTTTGAATTTTAGCACTGATGATTGCTGCTAGCATTAGCTTAAGGGCTAATAGTAAGTAATTTTTACTTTTTCTCACCTTCCGTATACTTAGTTACAGAGTTTTTCACCATCTCTTGGAGAAGAGAGTGTTATTTTGCTCTTAAGTCTATGCTGTCTTTGATTTTTAAACAGTTTTTTTTCATCTGTACTTCAGATCTATACAGATTTTGATGAAATTCGTCAGGAAATAGAAAATGAAACCGAGAGGATTTCAGGAAATAATAAGGTAAATGTTGCACTGTTTATCTTTGTCTTGCTATAGATTCTCTTGCTGCTTTAACCTTTCTTAAATAGTTTTGGCAGCTAGAATTGAAAAACATTGAACTATTCTGATGAACACAGTAATGCTGTTTGCTATCTTGAGATTTTTTTTACTATGTTTGTGAGAAGTGACTTCAGCTAAAACGAAATGCAGAGAATTGCTGTTGCTTTACTTCAAAGCTTCTGTAATAATGGTGCAAAAAATAAACTTCGAGTTAAACTCACATCCATTTCTCCATATACATGGCTTTACGTGTAATCATAAAATCAAATATTCTATTCTTGCACATCTGTGTAGTTACTGAAATATTAGAACTTTTATGCATTATATTAAGGGAGAAAACAGGGCAGCTTCCAAAGAGAAGGAAATTGATTGACAGATGTGTCTAACTTTTTATTTTCCTTACCAAGTAGATGCAAGGTATATGATGGAAGAACATTTTTTCTAGTTTGGAACTACAGCTTTTGTCTTTCTAGAGGATGCATTAAAATAATCCAGTACAGTGATTAATTTTTATTATTAATATATTTCTAGGGTATCAGTCCTGAACCTATTCACCTTAAGATTTTTTCATCTAATGTTGTAAATCTGACTCTTGTGGACTTACCCGGAATGACAAAGGTAAGATGCAGAATACTTCTCTTCTGACTTACTGGTAACAGTGTGTCTTGAAACAAGGAATGTGTGTTCACTCTCTGCCATTATTCTGTATTGTTAGCTAAATAGGTTTCCTCAGGTGAAGTAGTTGATTATATAAATTTGAGATGTCGCCATCTTCTCATGTAAGATTTGGGTTTCTGGTGCTCTTCACTGTTGTGAGAGCTAAACTTGTTTTAAGTTCTGCCTCTTTCTGTATACTGCTGAGGGATTGGAAGTGTGCAGGCTGCATGTTCCTCTTAATAGAAGAGGTAGCACTTGAAGTTTCAAAGTTATACCTGCAGATAGATGGGTAGTTGACAAATTTGAAAATGTTCTCCCTATTTTTTTTCCAGAAGTTGCTATGCGTATTTTCCAAATAAGTTGTATATAGTGAGGATGCACTAGTACAAATAGTCAGGTTCCGTTTATTTAGGACTTGAATTTTATATTTAAATTTTATATTTATTCTATACTGAATAATTTTCTGTGGCACAAAGATGACAAGATGTCTTTTTTTCCCTGCCTGTGCACATATATACACCCCACTCTGCCAGTTGTGCAGGTGATTCTTGGTTGCCAAGTCTTCTTGACAACAAAATCACATAATTTGAATTGATTCTTATTTCTAGACGAGTGTTTTTGACTTTTATATCTTTCAAGATCTTCCTTTTCTTTCCTATTTGTGAAGGTGGAAAGAAAGGGCTGGAAAACTGTGTCTTATACTGTGGTATAGGGTATGAACTTTCAATGAGTGGTCTCACACAGGCATAAATATACAATTTGGAACAGTTCTTTGTTTTTTCTCTAGGTGCCTGTTGGTGATCAGCCTAAGGACATTGAACTTCAAATAAGAGAGTTAATCCTTCAATTCATCAGCAACCCAAATTCAATTATTCTGGCAGTCACAGCTGCTAACACAGACATGGCCACTTCAGAAGCACTTAAAATTGCACGGGAGGTGGATCCAGATGGTAAGCAGCAAGAAAAACAGAATCCTGTAATTCTACTTCTTTTAAAATTAATTCATAAAATAAAACTGAAGATGCTTGGGCAAAAAGTAGTAAGAAAAACAAATGTTACTGCATTTTCTAGAAAATATAATTATTATATTTGCTTCCTTTTTTTTTGCTTCCTTTTTTTTTTATTATATTGACTTCCTGCTGCAGTCTCTGCAACTCAGAGAATGCTGTGATGAATTAATGTCTAACAGATACCTGGTTTACCAACAGGCCAGATAACTATTTTAGTAGTCACGAGAGCCACTTCTGTTTCCAGAGCAGCAAAATGGCATTACAGAATGTTGGGCATTCTGAGATTTTTAGTAGTTTACAGTAGTCTATTAGGATGATCTAATGCGTTATTGTCCAATGTTGTTTCTCTTAGTACTGAAAATATGTCATCCTACAGCTAGTAGTCTGTCTAGCTGTTAGTTCAGTGACTTTTAGTAAGAATAAAGTGAATATGTACTGTCAGTATCCATTTTGGTGCCCTGCATTTGTGTGACAGAACTGACCGATTTGATTTAATTTAACCTAAAAAGAGGATTACCATTTCTTATTTACCTAATGGCTTTGAAACAGATCTGAAGCTACTGGGTACCTGCTTCTTGTGTGTAGATACTGGTCTTAGTACCATTGACTAATAAATGGCATTGTATGACTTGAAAGAATGTAGAAAACTATACTCTGAATGTAGGTATGCAGAAATTAGGCTAAAATTTGGTGTTGGTATACTTCACTCTCAATTTTTCCTTCCCATAGACCTTACCATTTCTTGCTTGTTTTCAAACCCTGAGTCTGCTTTCGCCTGCCTGCCTAAGCCTTTATGGGTTCCACAGCCATGTAACCTCGGGGGAGAAGCTCTTCTCCCGGCAGCCTTCTCATTTGGATTGTCCCAGTTCAAGATAACAGACCCTTTCCTTTTAGTTTACCCTTGTAAAAATTATCAGCTGTGATTTTTGGATCAATTCCCAGAGTTCTAAAATTTAAAGCAAGAGTGGCATCTCATGTTGCAGGTTCTGTAGGAATAATGGTAGGTAATGAGAAATTGAAGTACTAAAATACACAGACTCTGAATTGCGTTCATCTGAGTTTCAGGAGCCAAGAACCTACTGGTTTTGCTGAGATACTGCTTTATTTTTAGACTTGAGAAGTGTGTTACATTTTAAAGAAAAAGTTTGCTATGTTTTTTTCAGACCAAAGAGCCCAGGGAATTTTAAGTTCCCAGACAAATCCTGTGCATGTTAGTCTGCCTGTTTAGATGTGCAATGTTTACCTATTTAATGAATTTAGGTTACTTTTTCCTCCACAGTGTCCAATATGAAGCTTAGTTTTAATTCAGAAAATAGTCACATATTCAATAAAAATATGTTTCATTATCAAAATTAAATGCCCTAACACTTCTTCAGTGGGCGGATTTCAAGCTATTCATTCTCCTGGGGCTTTCAGCTATGTATTTGATGCACTATGCTGGAAGTGGGCCTGTTGCCTCCTTTAGCAGCTTCTCCACTGGGTAGTGGTACTTCAAATACAGTTCCAAACAGATTACCATTATGTGTCTGGCATTACATATAATCTAGAAATATGTTCAGTCCACTCACACTTGTGAGTCCCCTGCCTGCTTTACTTAGTCTTCTCCACAAGTGCTTAGTAACACCTCTAACCTTATGTAGTATGCAAAAAAATGTTTGTTGTAATAGGTAATTACTATAATTTGAAATTGAATAGTGACTAAACCTTTTTCTTTAACCAGATCTGTGTGGGGAGCAGTACCTGTCAAATATTTTCCTATATTTCTGTTAAAAGTGGCTCCAGATAGACTAACACTTGTCCTTGTGCTAGTCTTTGCTGGTTTGCAGTATTAAACTTCATGCAGCTGTCTGGGGAAACTTTGAATGATAATTTTTTAGCTACCCTGATCAAGACAAGACATCCCTGTGATGAGTGAGTTTTCCTTTTGGTAGGTCGAAGAACTCTTGCTGTTATTACAAAGCTGGATCTGATGGATGCTGGCACTGATGCTATGGATGTGCTTATGGGAAGAGTGATTCCAGTAAAACTTGGCATCATTGGAGTAGTGAACAGGTCTGTCTGGGCACATTGATGCTATTCTTAAAACTTTGTTAATATGAAGAAATGGTTTCAGCTTTTTAAACCATGAATATGATTTTAAGAATAAGGTGACTTGATGTTGAAATGAACTTCTGAATAAGGAAACAAGAAGATTGTTGCTCATTTTTCAAAAGCCTGTTTGTTCTTCCACTCAACCAACTGCTCATTTAAAAAGGAGCAGGGCCATTTCTTCTAAAAGAACTGTAGCATCACTTCTTTCTGCTATTGTTTTTTAGCTTGAGGGATGGTTCTGGTCAACTGCTTGCATTAGCACTGATCCAGTACAGATCTTGTATATATTGGTGCTAATCTAGTGCTAATTGCATATAGCCATAGTACCTTTCTCTTTTTGCATTAGCTAGGTCAAATCTCATGCCGTTTTGATAGAGGCATTGCTTAGTTTGTGTGCAGCGGCTACCCATACTGATTGGTTGACTATGCTGCACGGTGCGACAAATAAAACCCTTTATTGTCTAAGGAAGATGAGTTATGCATGTAAAGCAAAAACCAACTGTTAGATGTCCTGTCTGGAAAAATAAAAGTGTAAGTTATTATTGCTTTGCATCTATTAACTGGTGTGTAACTCTGCCTTTTGACTTCAGGAGTCAGTTGGATATTAACAACAAGAAGAGTGTAGCTGATTCCATTCGCGATGAGTATGGTTTTCTTCAAAAGAAGTATCCTTCCCTAGCCAATCGAAATGGAACCAAGTATCTTGCTAGAACACTGAACAGGTATTACATGTTTTGCAGAATAAAACATGTATGCTTTTAAAGATAATTTAAGGTATAAATTGGTGTATTAGGAATATGTGCAAACGTTTCTTCTTACCTTTCCTTTTAGTGCTGTGATACATTAAGGAAAGTTCTATTTGATTCTAAATTCAGTTTCTGAATTTACTGTAGTTTCCCTGAGTAAATGTTTTCCTTCGGTGATTATTTTCAGTCTCTTCTCTGTTTTGATAGAGATGATAAAGCTGAAACTTTACATCCCTTCTAATGAAGGACTGTTTTCTACTTTTAGATTACTGATGCATCATATCAGGGACTGCTTGCCAGAACTGAAAACCAGGATCAATGTTTTAGCTGCTCAGTACCAGTCTCTACTAAACAGCTATGGGGAACCTGTTGAGGACAAAAGTGCCACTTTATTGCAGCTTATTACCAAATTTGCCACAGAATATTGTAACACTATTGAAGGAACAGCAAAATACATAGAGACTTCAGAACTGTAAGTACCAAATATTTAGAATATTGTCTGAGTAGCAGTGGCTCTTGCTGGCAATAGTACTACACTGGAGCATAACACTCAAAAGCGTTTGAATCCAAGTCACTGTAAAAAATATTTGCAGTGAGTGTTTTTTCTTGTTTACTACTTCAGGTGTTTTATTCTTTCAGATGTGGTGGAGCCAGAATCTGTTACATTTTTCATGAGACCTTTGGAAGAACTTTAGAATCTGTTGACCCACTGGGTGGCCTTAACACAATCGATATTCTGACTGCCATTAGAAATGCTACTGTGAGTGTTCTTCTGTATTTCTAAGTGTTGTTACTAGTCATTGGAGTTGAAGATAAGGTTTCAACAAATTTGTGCTCCTTCAATCCTGGGAATTAATGATCTCAGATGAATGTGTTTATATGAAGAGGCTGAATCCTGCTTTTTGATGATTTAAGTGAAAAATGCCATATCCAAATTTGCAGCCATTATCCGATATGGAATGAGTCTAAGGTGAATACTTATATCTCATTACTGTTATTACAGGTGAAATTAAGCTCGGGCCCAGCTTTGGCAGCCCTAAGCTGATGCTATTATACAGTACAGAAAATGTGCCTCTGCATTTTTATTTTTTTTGCTTTAAGCACTTCTGTTAGTTATAAAGATTCAATCTGAGATGTATGAGACATTTTCATTCTATATAATGGACATAAACACTGAACTGTTGAGGAGTTACGTGACAGATTAGGTTTCTTGTGACTAAGGGAATTGGTCTTGCTAAGAATTATCAGAGTTCGCTTTTAAATTTTGCAGCATATAGAACATTCACTCCTTAGAGCTTGACTTTGGGTGTCAAACATGTAAGTCTACTTCTATGCTTATGACTGTCAAATAAATAATGGTAACTTTTCTCTCTGAAGTTAGGAAGAGAATGTCTTTGCCTTTATAATAGATTTCTTTTAAACTTGGATCCACAAATCTGAAAAGAACTGTTAATAGTCGTAAGCCTAGAGTGACATTACCAGGTAGAAATCTTCAATGTTCCATAGGGATACTGGTTAATCCTTAACACAGTTTGTCTTAAAGATAATGACTTCTGAATATCTTTAGTCTATAAAGCTTTTATACTTCAATATTCTTGTAATGTGTTTTACTCTGAAGATCTCTTCTGAGTGTACTTTTGGATGTGGGTACTGACCTGATTTTTTCTGGGCTTCATCAGATACTTCTTTTTAGAAGTATATTGGTTTTATACACAGCTTTTTCCCTCCTTTTGAACTAGGGTCCCCGTCCTGCCTTGTTTGTTCCTGAAGTTTCATTTGAACTGCTGGTAAAAAGGCAAATCAAACGTTTAGAAGAGCCTAGCTTGCGCTGTGTGGAGCTGGTTCATGAAGAAATGCAGAGGATTATCCAGCATTGTAGTAATTATAGTACACAGGTAAAAATGCATGTTTTAGAATTATGTTTAATTATTGGACTTTTTCCCCCACTTCCTTGAAAAATTCTGGAAGTCTCATCAGTAAATTTTTGTCTTCTTTTTAGGAATTACTGAGGTTTCCTAAATTGCATGATGCCATAGTTGAAGTAGTAACCTGTCTTCTGCGTAGACGACTTCCTGTCACAAATGAAATGGTAATTTTCCATCTACTATAATTTTACTGGGAAAAGTATGTGTTTTCTGGAGTCTTCCTTGATGCTTCTGTTTGCTCTGTAATGTCAGGAACCTAAATTACTCAAGGAATCTTAATACATATTTGTTAAGCAGCTACCTGTTAAATATCTACACTTTTTGAAACTTCTACTATATTAGCAGCCTTGCAGTACCTGAAGGGTACCTACAAGAAAGCTGCAGAGGGACTTTCTACAAGGGCAGGTAGTGATAGGACAAGGGGTAATGGTTTTAAACTGGAAGAGGGTAGATTTAGACTGGATATTAGGAAGAAGTTCTTTACTGTGAGGGTGGTGAGACACTGGCACAGGTTGCCCAGGGAAGTTGTGGATGCCCCCTCCCTGGAAGTGTTCAAGGCCAGGTTGGACAGGGCTTTGAGCAGCCTGGTCTGGTGGGAGGTGTCCCTGCCCATGGCAGGGGATTGGACCAGATGATCTTTAAGGTCCCTTCCAACCCAAACCATTCTATGAGTGAAAAACAGGTACATAAAAAAACAAAAGAGTGGAGGGGAATCCTCTTCAGCTTATTGTCTGCTATGTTTAAATCTCCCAAGAAGATGTTACTAGAACTTGGATGTGACGTCTCCTAGTCTTTGTGATATATTTCCCTGCCTGGTAACAGAAGCTGTGCATTTACTGTAGAGTTAAGGATGCAATGATGAAAATTAAATCATAGTCTTTATTTTGTGTGTTTCAGAAGTAAAATCAACACAAAATTTTGATTTTGCTTGTAAAACCCTTTAGCTAATGAGAACTAAAAATTCAGCTTCTTGAGCAAGTATGTTTTAATATAAAAGCCTGCTTTGGGCTGCTTATTGGGGAGGAAACAAAGTGTTTCAGTTATTGACTCTGCACATGTCTGTAAATAGCTGTTCAGCATGCTCACTATCCCACATAATGAGCATCTCTCACTGGTTCAAATGTATGTGGCTTGTGGCTTGAAGGTTGATTATATAGCTTACTTCATTATTGTATAGTTTCACTCATGAAATGGCTAAGTTGTGTTTATTTTTTACTGGAAAAAGGGTTAAATTGATGAAGCTAACAAGTTAAACTGATGTAACATCCCGAATGACTGAAGGTCTGAATGTACTGCAATGAATGAATGAATTCCCTTGCCTTCTGGATGAGAACTTCAGTGTTTTGGGGGCAGTGAGAGCAGTCTTTTGCTAAGCCCAGTTAGACTGTGCTTTCTAGCATTGTAGGTCATTGCTCTTCACTAGCATTTCATTCCTTACTGAATTTTTGAACTGTGAATGACATTGCATTGCAGGTTCATAATCTAGTGGCCATTGAGTTAGCTTATATCAATACCAAACATCCAGACTTTGCTGATGCCTGTGGTTTAATGAATAACAACATAGAGGTAAGAAAATACATTTTCTTAAAAAAAAATTATCTTTTGAGTCCTTAAAAGTGAGAGCCTAAATAACTGGTAGAAGAACAAATGCTTCAATTTCTTTCACTGAAGCATGTTTCTACATTTTAAACTATAAAAATGTGCTATATTACAAATATGGTGTACACTCTGTTAATTTGTTAGTTTTATATTGCTTATTACCTTCAGGAACAGTGGTTGATATTTCACTGAAAACAATTCTGCCTGTACTTCTGTCTGGAAAATCAGATGAGCAGCTAATTGAGTACTGGCTATTAAATGGAAGTTTTGGAAGAGAAACTCTAAATTGATAAGTGTGAAATACTCTTTAATGCTGAAGTAATTGCATTTTGTCTCTTGACAGAATGTATTGATAGCTATAATGTTCCTCTCATGAAAGCATAATACAAGTATTGCTTCCTCTATCCAGGTTCTAATTTCTGCTTCCTTTTGGCATTGTTCTTGAATCTCTGTATTACCACACCTCGGCGGTCTCCCTAAGGTTATTTTCTCCATCAGTCTCCCATAAGCCTTTTACAATTTCAGTAGCCTTTCTGTTTTTCAAGCCCAGCTTTGATTGGTAATACTTGTTGCTGTAATCATCCTATAGAATCAGTTGTTTTACAACTGATCTGCTCAATTCTGTCTTGCAGTCTGATTTTGTTGCAGTGCTTATCCATTTGGCTAAGAGGTCGCTAATACTCTTAAGTTCCCTTGCTTATCCAACACATTACTTCATAGTAGTATTCTTTTTTAAAAATGTTTATGTTAGCATTTCTGTTCTTTAGTTCTAACCTTTTACTTTCTTTTATACATAAATTTTGTATTGACTGGCTATGCAATTGAACTTGCCTTGGTAGACTGCTCTTGAATCTAGTTCAATAAAAATGTCTGTGCAAATTGCTGTGAGTACAAAAATTAGAACTTTGAAGTTAAACATATGAGATTATTGTATTACAGTGTATTACTTAAACTAGTTCTTTCCCAACATTTTCCTGAGCAGGACATAGAAATTCTTGAAGAAACAAAGCACGTAAAACACCTTATCCTTATTCAGTGGACAATCAATTCTTAATTTCAAGAAAAATCAGATCTTTGTTTGTCCTGATTGTGTCAAATTTTGTTTTGCTGCTCCTCCGTCTTCCTTTTGGGCTAATCAGTTAACCCTGCTGGCCACAGAATCAAATTCTTTTAGATCGCTTTGAAGATTTAAAGTTTAATAAGGGCAGTAGGGTATCTACTCTGGGCCAAACTGTGTAGCTTTGATCTCATTTTTTTAAAGGCTCTAGTTTTGATTATGGAGTGTGTTGCAAAAGTTTGTATATTGAGAATTTACTTTTGATCAGGCAATCAGAGTAGTTTTATCCAAATAATTGAGGTTTTCTTATGATCATAGTATGACTATGTGACACTGGGTAAAATGAAATTACTGGTGTTTGTCTCTAAAATGTCAGTAATCTGTAAAATATGAATCTTGCCATATGTATTGATACAGAATAATACATAATTGAGGTCTTGCTGGGTTGTTTTTAAAGGAACAAAGGCGTAACAGGTTAGCCCGGGAATTGCCTTCTGCTGTGCCACGAGACAAGGTAAAGTAAATGTTGATTTTTATTTATTCATTTAAAATTTAATACATTCTCCTTTGATCCAGTATAAGTAATGGAAACTTTGATATACTGTCCTAGTAACAGTCTTGGGAGCTTCCAGGTATTGACTTTTTTCTTTCAATTTCATAAGACAGAAATGGAATGTTATTTCCTTCTTCCAAAGATGCAATTTTTGGCAGGTTTTACATCTGAGACTTGCCTATAAATTTACATTAGTATTATACTTATTACCTGAGTGTCATCTGAGGTAAGGCTTAAAATGCCTGTAAATGGTAAAAGATGGAGTCACAACTTGTATGCTTGAATTTGTGGCTGAGACACACTGCTTTCAAAATCTAAACTCAAAATCTAAACAAGTGATTTAAAATATTCAGTGTGCTGTCATAGTGACTTGGTTGTTTGGGGTTTTTTTTAAGTCACTCTTAAAACTGCAATTTATTGCAGTCTTGCTTTCTTTGGGAGAAGATGATGGAGGTGATTTTTTCAGTTGGTCATCACAATCCAGTCGTGTATTCTGTCTCTGGAGCTTGCTTGGTTTTACCAGGTTTTGTGATTAGTTCCATGACAAGTATGTGGGTGGAAGAACCAGGTGTCATGGAAAACATGGGCTGGCTGTAGAAATGAATGGTCTGACAATCAGCTAGAATTTTAGACAGGTATTTAATATTGCGTGATGTATTTAGAATCCAAACACACAGGATATAGCTTAAGTGTGAAGAATATAGTTAAGTTTTTACAACCTCATCACAGGTTGTAACAGGAGTTCTTCAAGTTTGTTAGCTTTAGAAGTGAGACAGAGTCCCAGGATGGGTCTAGTATTACTGCCTTTAATCAGTAGAAGCCAGCTGATGGATGAACTGGGAATTTAAGGTAGCTATCTAGAGATTGCTTTCTGTGCTGTCAGATATTTGTTTTTATTGATAGTATTTATATCATTAGTGTAGGAGCTGAAATGAAATTGAAGGCCAGATAAGCCAAAAGTCTCTTAACTGTCTTGAAGATGCTTGGTTTTTTTTTATTTTCTGCTTATATTACTGTGTTGCTCACAAATTCAAAATCTTTTCTGGATTTTTAAAGTTGCTAGTAGGCAAAAGTGTATGAAATTTGCTAGGTAGATTTGCTGGTCTTCAGTTGAATATTTTTTTTTCCCTCCCTCCCTGCATTTTTTACCTTCTTTAGTCTACTAAAGCTCCAGGTGCATTGCCACCTGCTACCCAGGAGACTGTTACTGCTGCTTCTGCTGAGGCTGATGGCAAGGTCTGTCTTGATTTTTCCTTTAAGCACTGCATGCACATTTCTGTTGTGGTGCACCTCAGATAGTACGGAAAGCAGTTCATATTTAGTGCTCTGTCACTGACACGGTATGCCCTACAGTGGTAATGCCCAATGCTACCTGGCATTACTGATTTCATTATGTGCAGCGGCAGGTAAAGATGTGCCATTAGGTGGCAAAGTCACTGCTTTCTGTTTGACCTCTTGGTTGCAATATATTGTGGTGCAAGTAAGCGACATAATTTGCCTCAAACTGTAGTCAGTGGGCTGTTTGGTACAACAGTATTGTGATCAGAAGTGTTCAGCATGGTTGTTAAACTGCATGTTTTTAATGTGTTGACAGTTACAGCAGGAGGACAGAAGATAAGCTAAAAATGTGAGTTTCCTGCTTCCTGCAGGGAATCCTTGTAGGTTTTGTTCAAACTGAACCTCCTTTTTGTTGTTTCACTGAATTGTTCAGTCCCTGGTTTACTTATATTTGTGGAATGTGTTCTGCAGTGGTTTTTTTTACATTTTAGGTGTGCTGTCTTCTCATGTTAAATTAACAGCTTATTATTGTAAAGACCTTTTTGCTAATTGCTTTCACTTGGAGTCAGAAAAGATGGATGGTCACAAGTTTGTGCATTAGGAGTACCAAGAGGACTCTGGCTTTCTGCTTCATCGCATAAGCAAATTCAGCTTCTAGTGCAAAGCTGCCATTTTTGTCCTGAACAAAGTAGTTAAAGCCAACATCTTGTCAGCAGTAGAATTTTAACTGTGATTTTCATCAAAATTTTAGAGGCTCTGATACACTACAGACATCTACAAAGAAATCAAGAGCTACTGTGAGGATACTGTTGCAATTTAAGAAGTTGCAGTAAGCTGCCAAATTTTCTTTGTGTTTCCCACAAAACCTGTCCCTTGTTAGGTGGTACTTACTCAACACATTGTTTCTTGTGAAAGAATGTAGCTTTGTTTCTGAAGCTAGCGAGGAGATAGAGCAGGCTTCACAGCAATACTAAATGAGTGGCATAGGGATTTCTGCCATTTTGAATAGCTGTCTTGCTGTCAGAAATAATGTAGTGGAGCTTTCCTCAGCAGTGGTTCTTTTTTACTAGTAGAGGTGGATTTGAATTCTTGTGTATTTTTCACAGTGCCTTTGAACAGTTCTGCAATATCAATAAAATTTCTGATGTGCACTGTTCAGCTGGGTTTCCTCCTGCTATGCAACTGTTGGTATTCTATCTGCCATGCTTTGTTTCTCACTATTTTTTAGACTCAAGATTAGGCTGTGGTAGTTTAATTGTAGACACAATAGATAAATTTAGCTTATTTCCTCCTGAAATCTGAAACAAGACATAAGTAGTAGTACTACTACTAGTAGTTCAGAGCCTTGAATGACCTCAAATGTTTTTCAAACAGCAATAGATTTTAAAGCACAGTAGTAAACAGAGCAGATAATGTTGAAGAGTTGAGTGTTATGTCCTTTCCTCAGGAGATCAGGGATGTTTGTCTGGAACTTACCAGAAACTCTGATCTTCACTTCCAAAGGATGGGGATTTTTGTTTTCTTTGAATCTGGTAAAAAAAAAAAAAGCCGCCTGTAGATTGAGGTCTGGCAGCACAAATAACTTTGTAGCTTTGGTACTCAGAAACATAAATGTGCATAATTTTTAGCTGTTACTGTAAGAAACTTCAGTTTAAATATACATAAAATACTAAAGAATTTAAATTGAAGTCTTCCAAAAGCTGTGGTGATCTTCAAAACATACTTTCAGAATGATCCTGATGGTATAGATTGTATTGCTTCAAGGATGAATGGTAAAAGCCAAAAGACTTAGGAAGACCATTCCATATTTCAGAAGTGATTTGTAGACCCATAAAAATGCTGGAGAGCTTCTCTGTGAGACATTTTCCTACCATTATTAGGAAGAATGAGTTTTAAAAGCTTTTGTTTTACTAGTACTTTGTGTTAGATGTAAGCAGCAAAGGGTGGGGAATATGAAGAATAGAATGATGGGAATATACATGTGAAAAACTCGTTTTTAGGGAGTCTTGCCTATAGCTCAGTATTAGTAGATTTGATCAGATACTGCTTTGCAGTGCCCAGGTTCTCACTCTGCAATGTTTCTTCCTTGTGCTGTTTCTGCAGGCTGCTCCTGGAGGAGATACGACTCAGGAGCCTGGAACAGGCAACTGGAGAGGAATGTTGAAACCCTCTAAAGTGGAAGAGGTTTTGGCAGAGGAAAAATCCAAGCCAGCTGCAGCTCTACCTGCTAGTCCTCAAAAAGGGCATGCTGTAAACCTATTAGATGTGGTGAGTCATGGAAGACGCATACCTCCTCTTTGTAGTTCAGGCTCAGGAAAGAAAACACCTGAATTCCAGATCTTGTAACTTTGCTACTAATATATGATAGCTTTGTAAAGATTTACCACTGCAGGGACAGGGAGCTCTAGGCAGTCTCTTCTCCTTTCCTGTTTGCCCAGTGCTTCATTCCTCCCTGCCCCTGCCCTGGTTTCAGCCTACAATTTGGGCTAACTGGCTTCTTTTCACAAATTCTTGTGCAAGTGAATTCCTTGTCTAGACTGTTGTTTCTACAGAAACAAATCTCAGCTCATGTCTCAACTCAAATGCCTGCTTTTTTGCTGAAGTTGGCATTTATATGAAAGGAAAAGATTCATTAAAAACAAAACTCAAGTTAAAAATAGATGAAGATTCTTTAAGTGTTTGGAGAGCTTAGTTCCTTAAGTGAGCTTTTAAAAAAACTTAGTAGTAGCCTTCTGACCTTCATTTCACAGGTCTGGATTTTGATATCTCTGATTTTTATTTCTGAAGAATTAAGAGGTTTGTTGCAAGACTGGTTACATTTATTAAACTACCAGACTAAAAGAGCAATAGTTTATTTTAGTCTCCACAGTTTGAGTAAACTGATTTTTTTTATTTTTTACATAGCCTGTACCTGTTGCACGCAAACTTTCTGCCCGTGAGCAACGAGATTGTGAAGTGATTGAACGGCTTATTAAATCTTACTTCCTTATTGTCAGGAAGAACATTCAAGACAGGTAAAACAAAACTTTGTAGAAATGTTGAAACCATACAAATGTAATATATCAGGAGTCATGTATATGATTTTATTTTGTCATGTTCTTGTATTTTAAGCAGAGAGAGAATATGATTTAATTTTCTTTTTTAGAAGGGACAACAACAGTAAAACTTGCACCTTCACAGAATTAGGAAGCCTGAAGAAACACTTGGTTTCTTAACGGTTTGAGTTCTGTATTGTATTAAGTAGAAGGTTTCATTATTTAGGAGATACCCGCTTGTCTGGAGGACACTGCAATTTAGATGAATGACTTGCCAAGAATAACTGCAATGAACTTAGGTGCTGTGTGGTCCTGACAGAACTTAGGTTTGCTGTCCTGTTATTTCAACAGAAAGGTCAAATAGGAACTACTGCAACTAAGTTTTCTGGTACTTAGCTATAAGGATAGAAATAGATTCACAGAATCACTTAGATTGGAAAAGACCTTTAAGATCATTGAGTCCAGCTGTTAACCTAGCACTGCCAAGTCCACCACTAAACTGTGTCCCTAAGTGCTACTTCTACACATCTTTTAAGTACCTTCAGGCATGGTGACTCCACCACTTCCCTGGGCAGCCTGTTCCAATGCTTGACAAATGTTTTGTTGAAAAAACTTTTCCTAATATCCAATCTAAACCTTCCCTAGCACAACTTGAGGCTGTTTCCTCTTGTCCTATCACTTCTTCCTTGGGAGAAGAGACCAACCCCCACCTCGCTACAACCTCCTTTCAGGTAGTTGTAGAGCGTGATGAGTTCTCCCCTCAGCCTCCCTTTCTTCAGGTTAAACAAACCTCAGTTCCCTCAGACGTTCCTCATAAGACTTGTGCTCTAGACCTTTCACCTAAAGTGATGTTTTTGCTGTGTGCAACTATGGAAAATGCCTTTTAAGTGTTGCTTAAAGTTTGAGGGGGAAAAAAAAACCAAAACAAAAAACAAAAAAAACCCAAAAAACCCCAGCAAATAAAACAACAAAAAACAACAAACCATAAAGCAGCAGAATGCAGTGGGAAAGCTCCCAGCCAAACTTGGGAGTATGATTTCAAAAGCTCGGGTGTGTTGATGGATCTTGGTTGATCTTGGGTCTGGCTGTTAAGACTTCCATGGTCCTTGTCAAGGGAACTCTGCAGTGATATTTGCAACACTCTGAGAATGAGGAAAAACTTTTGATCTGCCCATGAAAATGATTTTGATTTAGATCTAGGGCTATGGGCACATGAGAACATGAGAAGAGTGATGTGGTCACTACTTTCACAGAAAAGTTCTTTTGGCAGAAACTTTTTTTTTTGTGGTCATGTCAACTTCCAGTCCACTCTAGCTGCAAAATGCTGCTGCTAAGAATTACACCAACAAGGCTGTCTATACTAATGCAGTTTATTTTTCAGTTGGGAACAACTGTCAGTATTTTTATTGTCAGTTACTGTCATTCTGAATTAAACTGAGGTGTGCTAATTCCATTTTTGACCCTGTGTTCATATCACCAGATTTTGGTACTGTGTTAGTGCAGTGGTTTGTTTTTGTTAATACTCATGTAAATATTTTCCCCCACTTTTTCAGAAGAGTACTGCTACGTATAGCTGCAGTCTCAAAATCAGGTTCAGGTAGATTCCATACTTGGAATGGTTTTCAGGAAGCTTTGTGGCTTGGAAATTGGAGCTAAGACAGTGGTTTCTTTCAGGAGTTTTAGCCTGACAGAGAGCTGAAAAATGTTGCTTTACAGACTCTCTAATATCTTTCTGATGGATTGTTCTTGAATCTCATTGGTTACTGTCTGCCTCCATGCCAGACAAATATGTTTTTCACACTTAAACTGTATTTGCTGATTTAAATTGTCCTGATGTTGTGCTCTCTGATACCAGAGATAATGTGGACCAGTGTTTGAACAGTGATCCTGTTTTCAGTTTATCTGCTAAGAACAATTGGATATATGAATTCTTTCTTTGCCTCTTTTCCTTTCTCATTCACACATTAAGATTGTCTCTAGGGTAGAAATACTTAGCTTTTTGCCATGCTTAGCACAGTGGAGACTCAGGTTGGTCTCCAGTGAGCAAGGTAATTTATTCTTATTTTTTACACTATATATGTTCATGTTCTTTACAATGCAGCTGCCCTATTTGGAAGACATTCAACAGCTCTTAAATTGCACATGATACTGCATTTACTTGAGAGAGTGTTTTTATTTATGGTAGTGGTAGATTCCTGGTAGTCTGAGCCAAGGTTGTGTGTAGCTGCTTGCTCACACTGTGCATTCTTCAATATAGTGCAGACCTGGTTTTGAGTACTTTTTTCTGAAGAAACAATCCTTCTGTGTTTGCAGTGTGCCAAAGGCAGTGATGCATTTTCTGGTGAACCACGTGAAAGACACTCTGCAGAGTGAGCTGGTAGGCCAGCTGTACAAGTCCTTGCTGTTGGATGACCTTCTGACAGAATCTGAGGACATGGCACAGCGCAGAAAAGAGGCAGCTGACATGTTAAAGGTATTAAAAAGATTAGGAGCTCGTGGGAGTAGTTAATTACATTGAAACCATATGCATGTGAGATTTTTAGAAGACTTACTTTCCATTTTCTGTGCTCCTTTTTTAAGAGTATGCCAGTGTATTACTTCCCTCTGCTAGAGCAATTAAAAGCAATGTGTGACCAGGAAGTATGATGTAGATTGAGTACTTGGGAAGAGATGACTTAAACTATATTTTGGATGTCAAGCAGAATATCTAATCTGGTGTTATTTTCACTTACACATTTGGGTTTAATAATTTCTTACATAACTTTACTTTCTTGTGTTCAGCAGCTCTCTACTGGGGGATTAAGTTTACAGTGTTTTAAGTTCCCGTCATGTGTATGCTTCACACAGAGCCTACTGGCCAGGGGCTGGTGTATTTGGACAGTGCCGCACCATATGAACAGTGGGAATGTCGGGACTCGCTTATGATGACACCTGTGTACATCAGTTGACAGTGTGTTTGTGCCATGTCCATGTTAAAGAACTCTTCGTTTCTTCATTGTTCGGTTATGTTCAGACTCTGATACCCCTGCAGCAGAAGTACGCTGCTTTGTGTTGAACTGCGCACCAGAGCATCCCTTTGCCAGTTCAGCTCCCTGAAGAAATATCCAGAGGTGCTTCTCACTCATGTGCAGTGGGGTCAGACAGTGTGTTTGAGAGATGGAATGGCTCTGACATATTGCTTGTCCAACACCTGCAGAACATTCAGTATCTGCTATTATATGATCAACATTTGAGTGTGGGGAACTCTCTGTTAAACAGCTTTTAAGCTGTAAACTTTGTGGGACCAAGCTCATGGCTCAGATTTCCCCAAAGTGGAGTAATACTTTAAATAATGTCAGTATTAGTTGGTTGCAGCCAACAAACTTAAAAATATATTTACTAATCAGAAGAGAATTCTGAAGTTATAAGCAGGCCCGATAACTTATTGTAAGACGTTCTTTGAAACAAAATTATACTTCTAGAAAGATGCAGAAGAGCTAACAGGCTGATCTCAACTTGAGAAAGCAATAAACCCAGCATAATGCAGCTTTTAAATCTGTGAAGTTTAGCAGGCTAGACTGTGATGAATGCATCAGAATGCCGGAAGTCATATATAAGAGGTACAGTTTCCCTTTTATTTTGAGGAAGGTTTAATGCATTAGAAAAGTGTGTAGTGAAAATGTCTGCCCTTCTTGAGAATTTATTTATAAGTACAAAATATTAAAACAAACATAGGTGTTAATGGGAACACCAAGTGTGTAAAAATTACTGAAAACAATGCCAATATTTACATATTGGTATATGATACCAATGCTAAGTTTTACCATTAACTTTTGCTTTGTAGTATTTTCCACTTGCATAATCCTTTGCAGATGGAAGGCTTCAGAATTGTAATGTTGTTGCAGGTTGTTACTATTAATTTCATTATGAAAATGATTAGCTGTAATTCGAATTTTTGCATCATACTTTCTAGACTGCTGCTGTTATATCTCTAAGAAGTCTCTTAAGAAAAACAAAATAACTTTGGCTTTTCTGCCTTTCTTTGTGCAGGCCCTGCAGCGTGCCAGTCAGATCATTGCAGAGATTCGTGAGACACATCTCTGGTGAAGACTGTACCAGTGACATTATTTATATGCATTGGAAGTTACATTGACAAGAAAATTGCTAGGCATGGTATACGGAGTAGAATTTTTATTTATGAACTCTTATCTGTGTACTGCAACTGTGTAAATCTGCTCATGTAAAGACAGTTGGTTTGATTTGCAAACAGAAAAATATGCTGTATTTTGCAGAATAAGTCATATTTAATCCACATAATAAATGGCTCTAAATGTTTCCTTACCAGCTTTCTGGTGCAAATTAAAGCAGACCAAGTCTACTGTCTGAGTGACAGTCTCATTTGAACTTGGGGAAAAAACATTAAAGTTCCAGTGCCTGACTTGCTAAACAGGTTGCCTGTGGTTAAGATGGACGGTGTAGTCTTGTGGCATAGTTTTAAGCTGCTTTTACAATAGAAGTTTAAATACTGTGAAGAGAAGAGAGCACCGAGTATTTTCTTTCATGAATATATTGCATGCACTATGACAGATGGAGGTATCACTTTTATAGCACAGTAGAGATGTCTACCGTATTACTATGTATGTGTGTCCCCGTTTTTTCCCCAGTTGTTAAAACTGCAGACAAAACTTTGAACTTCATTTAAAGGAGTATCATGTAGGAAGAATTAGCCTGGAGCCTGCGAACAATAACAGCCTACAAAAAAGTGGGTGCAAAGTTATTCATGTGCACTGGAGCCTGTGTATAAGTGGTGGGGATTAAAATTCAGGTACAAGAACACCTTCCCCTTCCTCCCCACTGGGACCAAGCCCCTGGACCATCCGATAGTAAATTTCTTCTGGCAGAACTGAAAAATAAAACTGATTTCAAAACTGCTATGGGATAATAAGTGTTTCTTTTGAAAAAACAGATTAAGTTGGCCAGGGAGAAGGGGATCCCCACAACTTCTTCCAAATTTTGGAATGTATGACAGTATGAAAGAAAGTCTGTGGGAATTGAATATTTATACCAGAGATTACAGTTACTTTTGAGGAAATTTTACCGTGCTGTAAGTAGCTTTGTTTGTTTGTTTTGTTGTTTTGGGCTTTTTTGAGGACAATCCTAAAATTAGGGAATTTTAGGTTGGAAATGATGTTGATGAGTTATTTTCTTCTGATAATTCATACAGACAAATATTGATCACAGTAGCCTTTAAAAAAATAATCATTATAATTTTTATTAATAAAAATTTATTTAAACTCCAGCCAGCACACCTGCATGTACTTTTTAATCAGAGTCACTTTTTTTGTATAAAGTAAAAATGTTTACTATGATGTTGCTGATATTTTATTTTCAACACAACTTGCATGAAAAATAGGTCACTGCTGTTAACATCCATGGCTTGCTTTTACAATACTGGGCCAACATAGTGAGGTTTTTATTACCATATTCAGTCCCTTTCCCATTTCATCAGTTAACAGAAATGGATTCCTTTTGTAAGCTGCTAAAAAGATTGAAAATTTAAAAACTGTTAAGACCTCAGTTTACAAGAAGGTCTGTTTACAAATCTGTTTTTCCCATGGCAATCTTCAGTTTGGCACCAATACAAGCACAGGGAGTTAAGTCTGACAGACACAACTTTTGGTTACTTTTATGCACGATCTGAAGTAATTCATGCAGAACACAGAAATACATTCTGCATTTTTAAACAGCCTAAAAAGTCATGATCTATGCATTACATGTAGTGAATACAAAGGAAGTCATTTTAACTTCTTGCATTGTATCCAGGGATGGCAGTTCTCAGGTTGAAGATGTGACTGTAGTGAAGTTGAAGTGCAAGCCACTTTTCAAATCAATTTTGGTGAACAGTGAAACCTCTTAAAAGTTTTGTCAAAAGCAGTACATTTCTGTTTGGAGTTCACCTGACACCTCTCTGACTTTTACTTTTGACATCTACGTAGTATGTTTTCAACAAGGTAGAGCCGTCCGTAAGTGAACTCCTGCCTAAGCTTTAACTGCCAAAGTTGAGTCAACAGAGTCTTGTGGAGAAATATTCTGACTTGTCAAGTTTTGAAATGCTGCATAAAGCAAATGAATTCCACTTATTTAAGAAATTCCTGCAAGTGATAACTGGCTCTGTAATGTCGTGTGAAATTTCCACAGTATTTATTTGTTTTCTGGAATGTTACGACTCTTTTTGTTTAAGTTTCACAAAAATTTTCAATTGGGTAATGTTTGAGTGCCAAGAATTGAACTTGATTTGTAATTCTTAATGCAAGTCTTTAAAAATTCATGTTGTAACAATCCTGTTATTAAATAAACAGATAATACATGAAATTAATTATCCCAGAAATAAGAGTTTTGAACTGACTTGTAGTTCAGGTGGCAGGACTTAAATGCTTTTACAAGTTAATAGTATAACTACCTATATTTGTACAGCCTTACCTATGTTTGCACTTGCCCTCCTGTGATTCCACATTGTTAGTTCTTGTATAGTTGCCTAAGTAATAGTGTAGACAGGCTGCTAGTGGCTATTAATGGTTTTTAAACAATCTATTGTTTGCAGTTGAACTAAAATGCTTCAAATGCTATTGTTACTGCCACCATTGAAAGACCTTATGGGAAACCATGGAAAAAAGCATAATGAAGGCAGCAACTGAAAAATTCCCAGAATAGACTGATAGTTTACAAATGTCTTCTAGTCCACCTTATTTAATTTAAACTAGAAATACTTTTGTCATCAATGCACAGATTTCAGCTAACTTAACTTGCTATCCAGTGAAACACACAATCACGGGGGAGAATAACCACTGTAGCCGAGTTTGGATGAGTAAACGTTTGACATTAATACCTGACCTGTGTGTAGTACTATTAAGTCATAGTATCCCTGCATGAACAGAGTTTGTCAGTAAAGCACTTGGATTTTTTAGTAGTCAGTTTTAACTTCCGCTTAGTGGAACAGAGCAGTTAAGTGGGGCGTCTGTGGGATTTAAACTGTGTTCTGAAGTAAACATAAAAAAACGTACGTAAAACTTGCCTTTACCCTGTGCTTTATTGGAGGATTGACTTTGAAAGATGCCAGAATGGATACTGCAAACTCAGGTCCCTGCCTTATGGAATACAGCAGGGGAAGCATCTTGCAAGTCTGTTTTGCCCCTGTTGGTAACCTGAATAATTCATCTTGAGGTTTGGGTTGGTTTGTTTTTTTAACCTACAATTAAGTCCTGTAGCTATGAGTGCAGATTGCTAGCTAGTGTTTTCTGTAGATACTAAAGATCTCAAATGCATCTGCTTTATAACTTATCAGTTCAGCTGTGCTCTTTGAAGTGAAAGGTAGATTATTAATTCTTCAAAGACAGAGTAGAACACCAGGATATGGTTTTATGCCCACGGAGGGGCACTGTTTAAACTAGTGAAGGTGGTTTTATGCTCTGATAGTTCCCTTTTAGTTTACTTGTTGCATGACCTTTTGCTCTTGACCTCCTCACTGCTAGCTGCCATGGTAATGTTAATAGTAACAGTTCTTGCTGTCCCCAGATGCTGTATAAATGTTTTTGTTGTTTGGTTCTTTAACATCTGGCCCACATGATTACTCTTCTTCTTGCACTTCCAAGTCACACATTTGTAGACATTTAAATACTTTAATACTAGATCCTCTTTGTTTACATTTGAACAAGTTATGTCTCTGATTACCTGAACATGCCTGTTTTTGGGGTACATGAGAAAGGAGAGCAGGCTAAGAAAGAATACTCAATTGTTCAGTCATCCTTGATTCTCAGCTTAAGTGTTCAAAGGTACAGTTGTGATACCCTGTAGAGTCATGAAAAGTTGTGGTTGTGTCCAGCTGTTTCTTTTGAAAGAGTCAGGAAAGAGTTTTGGACTGCTAGATCGTCAAAAGGAAACAAATAATACAACTCCTGGAGTTCGTTTTTTGTTAAAAATGTTGTATGCAAAGATTTTAATCCCCATTCTTATTTTGTATTTATAAAAATAAATAAAATCCTTTTAATACTTGATCAAAGTGGGTACTAATGCTTTTAAGAAAAAAAAAAAAAAGCTGAAATTTGTGGATGCATGTGCTGATCTGCACCATTTGGAGATGAAGCAGAAAAGGCAGGAGAGGGATCAGACATGAAACTGGTCTTACTCTACTTCTAGGAGTTTATTTTCTGGAAACCGGAAAGTAAATGTCAGATCTGATCTGTTGTGTTTTGCTAGAGGCTAACATGGGTGTGTACCGGTATATTTTGTTACATATATACAGGTGCATATTTCTCTGTTGCTGTGATGCTTTTGCCATTAAAGGAAAAAGGTGGCTGTGTAAAGTGGATGAACTTTCCATGCTTTCACAGCAAAGTTGTCATTTTTTTTCCTCCATATGCTTTTTCTAGGATAGCTCTGCTCATTACTGGAGCTGAAGGCAAAGTAACAAGCAACACAAACTGGTCCTGAGAGGGAACATGGTAGGTAGAGCTTTTTTGTATGCTTTATATATAACTGAGATTTCCATAGAGATACCTCATTGTCAGGCAGATGATAAGTGAGATCTAGAAAATGTAATTAATACTAATAGCTCCATGGAGTGAGCTACTGAAATCATAGAACCGTAAATGGTTTGGGTTGAAAGGTACCTTAAATATCATCTAGTGCAACCCCCCCTGCCATGGGTAGGGACACCTCCCACCACACCAGGCTGCTCAAAGCCCTGTCCAACCTGGCCTTGAACACTTCCAGAGAGGGGGCATCCACAACTTCCCTCGGCAACCTGTGCCAGTGTCTCACTACTCTCAAAGAATTTCTTCCTAATGTCTATTTAAATCTATCTTTCAGTTTGAGGCCATTCCCTCTCATCCTATCACTACATGCCTTTGTAAAAAGTCCCTCTCCAGCTATTTTTAGGCCCCTTTCAGGTACTGGAAGGCTGCTGTAAGTACCTGAATGCTACTCCAGGCAAGGTCGCAAGAGAGCAGAGTTGAGGGGGTGAATCACCTCCCTCAACCTCCACATTACCTCCTCAAGTACCCTATTACAGTTTAATCATCTGAAGGAACTGTGATGTATAAGCAGGAAGGCACTGTAATTTATGGCTACTGAAATCTCGATTGACAGTGCAAATAAAGGCAACATCAAGTTGATGTAGAAAAAAAAAACAAAAACCAAACCAAAGCAACCTAACTAAAAAAACAATACAAAATCCCCACACAACTATAGAGTACCTGGATTCTTGAGACTTGCTAACATTTCTTATAATTTCCCCATTCTTCTCACAGGCTGATTCTCACAGGGTGGTTTTTAAACCAGCTGAAATACCATGACTTAGTCTGACAACATAAGAGATGGTCCCGAGTTATCCCATTCATGAAGCTCAGTTTAAGGCCCCTCCCTTTGTGGCTGCTGTGACTGCCAAGCTCTTCTGTCTAGGAGTTTCATGGTCTTGAACATGATTCTCCTTGCACTAAGAGCGAGGATTACCCTAAACCTTATTTTATCTTAACCTTTTATGTTATCGAGGCGAAGAGCTCCTGAGTGGAGGACC